GCCATTGAGCCATAGACTGCCATAGACTCCACGACTTAGACCTTGCCAGGGAGCTTCCTTTGCTTTGTGCTCAGGCTTAGAGAACTTTAGACATCTTGCCTCAGAAAGCAGCAGAGCTCCCTTTGGCAGACGGCCGAAAACTTCGGCCGAGAGGGCCGCGCTTGTGGTGGCTTCTGCTTTTTTTGAAGGACCAAAGGGTCAACGAAGGGCCTGCAGTCTCCTCGGTTTTGACATTCCGATCCGGGTCCACCAGCGTCTGCGATCTGCGATCTGAACACGAAGCCCGTGTCAGAACATCTCCCAAAATGCCCGATAGCCACCGAGATTCAGAAGTTTGCAGTGCTCTGCGTTGCTGAACTGGTGCCAGTGCTGTCGGACTCAAGCTCGCATTTTGGAAAGAGCACTGTGCTGCCCCGGCAGCTCACTGTATCACCATCATTAGCTGTCATTAGCTGCTGCTTTCGTTCAATAAATACTGGCACATGCTCTCCTGGATTCTGAGACTGTTGGCAGCATCACGCGCTCGAGCATCGGCCATGCGCTTCAAAGTTGCCCTATTGGCGGCAGACGCGAACGCGAACATGACTCCAGACTGCACTTTTGCGTTCAGGAAGGCGAGGCTTTGGGGGGTTCCTTGAGTCAAGCGTAGAGCCGTCCCCATACCGCGCTGGCAGCCGTGCGAAAATCGCCGCAGATGTTTTTTGCGCACGGCACACGAGCTGACCGTCCATGAACGCGCACAGCCGTGTAGTGCATAGCACAGAGATCACGGCTCAGTCAAGCGGGCAGGCCGCTTCCGCTCAGTTAGGATCCCCGGTGCCGTCGGCATAGAGTCGCCTCGGGGAACACCGGTGCCGTCGGCATAGAGTCCAGTCGAAGCAGATTCAAGACATAGAGCAGCGCAACCCGCGAGACGCGTCGGCAGCAAGGCCAGCCCACCAGGGGTTGAACCTGAGAGCATTGAAACTTGAGGTTCAACTCATATTGGCCGATGAAGCGTTGCAGGCAGCGGGCGGTCAGCTATGCTGGCTGTGCGTGAGAAAAATCCGAATCTCCGAGGTCCAAGGCCCTCCGCAGCCGTGCCAGCGCCCGCCAGCGCCCGCCAGCGCCCGCCATTCTCCGTGCTGCCAAGGTGCGGGCAGCGGCGCGAGGGCAGAGCCGGGCAGAGCCGGGAAGCGTGCTTTTGCTTGTGTTAGAGTGTCTGCATCTGCTGCGTCTGCTGCGCTGCTGCGCTGCTTGGCTTCAGACCAGGGAGTAGTCGTCGGGCGGCTGGCCCTGCCAAGACCTGGGAACTGGATCCTGTCACCTTTCGCCTGCTCGGAACGAAGGGCGAGTGCATGGATGACGAGACCGTGGAGAGCTTCCTCTTCCCTTCTGGTGAGGCCCTGGAGACCCTGGAGCTGCAGCTTCTGAAGTTCGACCCCCTGCTGGACCTTGGCATCTTTGACAAGAGCCAGCAGAAAGGCATCGATCTTAAAGATCCAGCCTCGAGGCTCAAGAAGACCTCGGGGGTGCCGGACTCCAACAACGTCTTCTTGCGCCACAAAATTCTGGAGCCCTGCTTTTGTGAGTTTGAGGTGATCCGGAGCCGAGATGAGATCTCCTTCGGCGTGACTTACGACAGGGCGTCCACGGAAAAGATCTCGGGCTTCTCGAACATCCACTGCGAGAAAACCTGGATCTTCTCCAAGAAGCAGAGCATGCCTGTCTTCCTCTTGGGAGGACAACACTTCGGTCCCGAGGGCCACCCTGGTGTCCAGGAGGGTGACCTTGTGGCGGTCTACTGCGATCCAGAGAGTCGCCTGTGCGAGTTCTACTGCAACAGCAAGCTTCTTGGATCCACGGAGTCTCTGGAATCTCCTTTGCCGGAGAGCCGGGGAAGTCCCCTCTTCATGTACTGCATGGTGGATGCAGTTGAGGATGAGGTCAAAATCAAGCGATTTGGCCCTGGCAGGCCTTACTAGGCCTAGGCCCTTGAGGTTTGCACTCGCAGAGCTCACAGCCTGAGATTGAAGGCCGCTCCTCGGCTGTGTACAGACCTGGCACGGAGCGGGCAAGAAACCAGTGTGCTGTTGCATCGTTGCATCAAGTCTTTGGCAGGCTGCAGGGCATCCCAGCAATGGAGCCGATGTGCGCATCGGTTCAATGCAGTTCTGGAAGTTCTGACAATTTGAGACTGTGAGATTACAGACTTACGAAGAGAGTATCGGCCCTTGCGACTTGTGCTTCTCTTCACAGCTCTTCGACAGGCGCCTTCCCCACGGCCACGCCAGACGAGAGACCACGACAGGCCTGATGTCCCAAGCCCCATGCGAGCCCAAATGAGTTGTTGGAGCATCTGCGACAACATGGAAATCAATTCTTGACAGATGGGCCGAGTTACTAGGGTTTGAGTGTGGTATCTGCATCCGCGATGGCACCTTCAGCACCGTCCTTCACATTGTTTGTCGCTCCATCCGGCAAACACGTCATTGACTACATGCCATGGAAAACCCGTGCATACGTACGTGCGTACCTACGTTATCTCGGACGCTGTCACTTCTTGGCAAGGGGCCTGAGAACGCTGGGTCTATGCTGCACCGACCCTACCCGAGGGCTGACGGGGCTGTTTGGGATTAAGCGAGTGTTCCTTCAGGAGTTTGAGGAGCGTCGAAGACGCTTGCACTTCGGAATGCCACCAGCCACTCACTGAAAGCCACCGATGCTTGCGTTCACTGTGTCTAGGGCCTCGGGTGCAGATAGAGCTCCCCAGAGAGAGGCTCCAGCAGTGAAAGCACTGGGTTGTTGAATCTTAGGACTTCAATGATGCTAAAAGTTTAGCTTCTAGGATGGGTTCAGAAGTCAGACACGGTGTGACTGCGGTTATGGTGGGGCGGGCGGGCAAGAGAATGGCATGTCTGAAGCTTTCCTGCATTTCATGGGGTGAACGAGTCCGGGATATGGGGCATTGAGGCATGACGCTTACAGTTTATTATAGGTGCAAACCAGATTCTTTCAGCCTTGGCTTTGGGCACAGAGCGTCTGCAGTCTCTGCTTGGAAGATCCGCGTTTCATGAGAGAGCCTGAATGCCTGATGACCAAACGTTTGCGTTGAGACTTGTGAGATACTCCGTCCACGCAATCAAGCTTCTCTTCGGATGTGCAGCATTTCCTTACGGTAGGTAGCACATTGACATGATCTTCCACTTTACAGCGCACTTTCCGTTTCTTGCCGGTGGCATTTGTGTGGGGAAGCTCGGTGCCATAGAAAGTTGGTGTAACCTCAACTTTCACGAGTAAACCATTGAGAACAAGCAGCTCAAGGCTCATGGCTTATGGTTCAGTTTGCAGTTTCTGTAAACACGTAGCAGCCCAAAAGCCAAGAAACAACGCGCTCGTAGGGTGTAACCTCCAAATCCCTGTACTTAGAGTTCGATGCAGGAGCCCGACTCCTCCTCCCCAACAGAACAAAACGAGCTCGAAAACGCAATGCGAAATTTCCGAATGCCGTGGACTGCCGAGCCCTGAATGCTAAAAACCCTTAGCCGAAGCTCCAAACAAGACTCAACGCTCATTGACTCATAAGGTTTAGGGTCCAATGCTGCGGCGAACCCGTCATTGGCAGCCTGGTGAAGGAGGGGTTTGGGGCGTTGTTCGTTTTTTTGGTCGGAGCTTGAGACGTGTCGAGACCCCAATTCATGTCCTAGATCTTGGCCAGTACAACCCTCAAACCACAAGCTTAAACCGCCTCCTCCCAGACGCTGGCCGAACAGGTTGCCCCGAATCTCATGTTCAATCAGCGTGCGGACTCTACAGCAGGGTTGACTCGAGGAATTGGGATGCAGTATGGCAATTTTGCTTGCCACAGCCACAACGGCGAAAGCAGCGCCGTGCGCTGTGCCACTGGTAGCGAGATTATCAGCGTGCTCTTGCGGGAGAAGGAGATCCGCTCATGATGGCGTACAAGCCGAAGCCTGCAGCTCGTGACAGCCGCAAGCATCAAACAAGCCTTGGCGCTGCTGGGATCACCGGAAGAAGCTCTCTCCAACTCGAACATCGAATCGCAGAAGGCAGCATCTCAACTCTCTGAGTCACACCCTGATGGGGGCACTTGTCGGAACAAGCACAGGCCACAGGCCCCTGCACAGGCCCTAAATCGCTGCAGTTTCACTTTGCCAGGCAGCACAAGTGTGCTGCACAAAAGGCAAGTCGAAGAATACTGGTTGCCTGCGGAAACAGCGTGAGCCGTGTGATGCTCACATCAACGGTCCACTGGGTGTAGTTTTTCGACGCGCGCGCGCGCGCGCGCGTGCAGGATGCAAGTGGGACCCGCTGGCACAGGCCCGCAGTTCATCTAGCGACATTTAAACAGCTAGTCCGAGTCCTGCAGACGCCTCCATCACCCCTGGGGGACCTGTCTCCCAAGCCCTGGTATCCCTAAAAAGGCCAAAGGCCAAAGTCCCTAACGTTTGAACGGCGGCCGTCAGATCGAGGTTCCAGGGTTACGTGCATCCTTCTCACGGTGTGGGAGACCACACCAAAGCTCTTGCAACCATGTTGCGGTCCTCCTGAGTCGTATCACCTGCGTGGACGTGGTTTCTCCATAGGAATCTCGTGACACCTAGTGGTATGGCCTGCTAGGTGTTGTTATTTCAAGTTCGGTGTGACTGGGACATGCATTTTCACGAAAGCTAGGTCTGTGGAGCTTGCAGAAGTTGTAGTGACCCAGGCAAGATCGTGCCCAGGCCCTTGCAGGTCCTGTGACAGTAGGAAGGGGGGAAGGGGCCCCCTTCCCCCTGTGGCCACGCAAGTGATTCAGCAGGTCCAGCTGTTTAAGCAACATGGCAAGGGATGGCAACATTGCATTTCGTTTTCACGTCTGGTGCGTTACGGTTTCAAGTCTCATGCCTTCGTAGCTTAGCGCCGCTAAGCTGCGACGACAGAGTCCGAAGCTGCTCGTAGATGGCAAAGTTATATTTCTTACGCGTCGTCGTGCAGGTTTCAAGGTTCTCGTGCTTCGA